GCACAACTGGCATTTGAGCGCTGCTTCGCGCACACCTCCTGCTGAGTTGGCGACCGTTGAGGCGTCAGAAGTTGGGGCGGTCAGCGTTTGGATGGGGGAACCGATTGGAACAATTTTGCCGGAACCGTGGACTTGGTGACTGGAAATTGGCAGCTGGTGATGCTCATGCGATTTCGTTGCAGTTTGTTTGCAGTGAGAGCGTGAATGTTTTGATTATCTTTCTCACTCGCCTGCGCCCTAAAGGGGCAAGGGGCTGCCTGCAGGCACGCAGGCCCAAAGTCAAAGTCATACGGCGCCATCAGCAACTGCAAGTCTGCCTCGCCTTGCGCAAGGTCGGGCCCGGAGCTGAGCTCTCCCTCCGCAGCTGGCTGCGCCAGGGAGAGCCACCAGGTCGTGACCGTAAAGTACGGCAGGACCTTTATAAGAGTCGTAAAGCCCACCTTGCCGGCACGTGGAGCAACAGCTGTTTCCTTGGCAGCAGGCGTGCGGCAGGCGCAGCTTGTGCCAGGTCTGGTGTGCGCAGAGGGCGAGAATGAACCGTGCTGCCAGGGTTGGCTCTAGGTGCCTGGAAGTTGTCCCAATTGCCCTCTAAAGGCCCGCAGTCGACGCAACCCTTGTGTCCCCCTTGTCAGGCCGGGGCCAGCCTGTCCGGAGGGGTGGCCGCTGCCACCTTGCTGTGTTTGCAGTCGTGGAGTGCGAGGAAACAAATGAGAAGGCAGCTTCCCTTGTACGCGGTCTCGCACGTGGCCCCCGACTTGCGCACTCTGGCAGCCACGTGGCTGACCGGGGGCAGCTGCACAGAAAAAGGCGCGCCAAACAAAAACAGAAGCAGACCGCTCCCACAAGCAAACAAATAAAGAAAGGGAAATGCAAAGGATCCGACCGGTTCGTCTCCGGTCCTAGCTTTTTTTGGGGGGCGACGGACAAAAATCCGAGACACACTGGCGCTGGCCCTGCCGCAACTGCCCGTCTTGGCATGCTCTTTTGGCGGGTGCTGCGCTTTGGCCACATGGTTGGCAGCTCAGAGCCTTGCCTGCCATGCCGCCGTCCAGGATGTGCTGGACGCCCGCAACCATGCTGCTGCGAGTCGTCCGCCGCCTGGAACGTGTCTGCCTCCGTCACCTATCTATGGGGGCAAACCTGCACCCGAGGCTTCGTGAGGGAAAACAATGTCTGCACAAAAACGTCACTCGCCCTCCAGGCCGCAGGCGCGGCCAGGCGCAAAGATGCCACAACCCAGGTTCGTGCTTGGTCTAGAGTCTTTGAGAGGTCGTGAGGCATGACCTGAAGGTACCTGGTGAGAAGCACTTGGGCAAACAAAGCTTGCTCTGCCTGGCTTGCCGTTGCGTCTTCCATACATGTCTTGCTCCACAGCAGTTTGTAACGGCACTGAAATTGCCGTCCACCCTCTAAAAACGACACGGGTATGTTTTGTATGGTTCTTGGCAAGTTGCTATGGTGTCGGGTCTCGATTTTATCTCAAGTGCCTGGGACAGCAGGCCGTCGGCCGGCAGCATGGCAGATGAAGAGCAGTCAGCTCCTCTTGTCGCACCTGGAGCACCAAAACTTGCACTTGGACCATGTGAATGCGCAGCTTGTGGCTGCAAATGTTGCATTTGTTGCTGGTCCGGTTTCCTGTGTTTGTTTGTGACAGCTGCGTGTGCTTCCTTCATCTACACGTACGGGAAGACTGACTGTGGAAGAGCCGGAGATTTTCCTGGAGCTATTTGTAACCCAGTGTCATCACCATGCAACTCTTCAACTGGTTGGGAGTGTCGTATCTTTGGTGGTTGCATCTATGGCCCTGCTGTTGGAAAAATGAGCACTTCTCAATTGTCTCTGCACTACAGACCAGAATGCGGTGTTTTTGACAATGGTTCAGCCACAAATTATGTGAGGACGGTATCCTTTGAGCCTGCTCGGAGGGTGGCGCCATGCGAGATTGCAGAATTGGGTGACATCATGTCCGAAGCAAATTCTGAAGGGATCAAAGTGAAAGCAGTTGGTGGCTGTGCCTCGATGGAGGCTGTTGCAGTCACACACGGTGTCCTGATCGAGACTTACAAACTTACATCCATTGAGGAAGAGCCAAAGCAGATTGACGGCAAACGTGCTTTTTGGATTGGAGCAGGTGTTACAGTTTCACAGGCCATCGAATATTTGAGAGGACAAGATATGGCCTTGGGAGACACTGGTGGGTGGACAGGGCAGACCATTGTGGGTGGTGTGAGTACCGGCACACATGGCAGCGACCTGACGTATCCGCCCACCTCCGACTTCATAAAGGCCATACATTTTGTCATGAGCGATGGGAGGCAGCTGGTCTTCGAGCCAAGCGCTGGCCGATTCCAAGAGGGCGACTTTGGAGAAAACGTAACCTTGGTCCAGGATGACGATGAGTTTTATTCGTCTGTGGTGACAGTTGGCAGTTTGGGAGTTGTGGTGCGTATCCTCCATGAACCCTTGCCATACTACTATGTCTTCTCAAAAGTTGTGAAGACGACGGTACCACAACTCTTTTCGGGAGAACTTGATGAACTCAGGGCCGAGTATGAGAATATTAACCTGGTAATCAATGCATACAACATGCAAGTCTCGGTGTCTGTTCGCAAGAGGTTCCCTGGCAGTTTCCGGGACGGGCAGAGCGTTTTGGAAAATGCTCGTCATGAGTTGGGTCTCTCCAACTTGAGTCTTGTGGACGAGGTAGATCTTGATCTCATGAAGACTTCAGCACTTCTTTCTTTCGGTTTCCGCAATGCTGGGGAGTTGATTGATGCAGCTTTTCAGCTGGTGGCAAAACAAGTAGTGCCACAAGTTGATGCAGAGCGTTTCACCGAATTCTTTCAGAAAAGTTTGGAAGAAGGAAGCAGTGGGATTTTTATGCCTCCGATCTTCGTTTTCTCTCCTGGTCTGAACACCTTTGTCCCACATGGATCCTTCGGGACGGAAATCAATGTACCCGCAGATGACTTGGAGGAATTTATGAACAAAACTGTGATGTTCTTCAATCAGGGTCTTCAGGAGAAGCCTCAACCTGCGATCATGTCACTACGCTTTGTTGGGAAGTCGAAGCACAAGTTGGCAGCTTCTTACGGTCGTGACAGTGTTGCAATGGAAGTGCTTGGTCTTGGTACCCGAGACACTGTGGCACGTTGGGCAGAAGCGATGAAACATTATTTTCCAAAATCACGCATGCATTGGGGGCTGGAGCAGTTTGGCCTTGTTGATTCTGAATACGTGCGAACGCGCTATGCTGACGGCTTTGAGCAGATACAACTGATGATGGACAAATATGATGCAAAGGGTCTTATGAAGACTCCGTATGTACAGAAAGTGTTGTCTGAATGAGAAGTGACTGCTGTTCTTACTGCACGTTTTGCATGACTTCTTGTGGTCCGTGGCAGCTTTCAAAGTGTTTGCTTCTACCTTCATGTTGCTTTTGTTTCGGCTTGGTTTTGACGCCATTGGTGCAGTCTGACCTTGGATACGTAGGGACACGTGGGACATCTGGCCTGACGATTTCCTTACAGTGCATATCTTGCACATCCCTGGACATCTTCCAGCCGAAAAACGTGTGGGAAGGTGTTTTGCACTGACATCGGCTGATACAAAGTTAGCCACGAAGCCCTCAGCTTAGCTTTGGGCCTGGCCTTTTGCAAACCTTTGCTTCACAGTCCATGCGCCAGGCAAAATAATGTTTATGCACCGGTTTTGAGATCTCATGAAAAAGAGGAGGTTTCCAGATGCATCAGCGATTTTTCAGTTCTTGCAGCGTGTTGGTTTCAATCTTTGAAAGGCAGCTTGGCCCGTCTTGTTCGAGTGATTCTGCGTTCTGACATGAATTTCAGGTGCCTCAGACAGCGCAGAGAGAGGGAGAGAGAGAGAGAGAGAGAGAGCAGCGAAAGAAAGCAAGAGAGAGAGAGAGAGAGAGAGCAGGGAACGAAGGACAGAAAGAGAGGGAGGGAGACAGAGAGAAAAAGACAAAACACAAATATTGTCGCTGCGTTTTCAGTCCGTGATGGCTTTTGACTTGGGGCAGTTGTGGGGCAGCCCGGGAAAGTCGTCAGCAGGCCTGACTTCAATGGGAAACCTGGATCACAGCTCATCACAATCTCAACGATTGAGAAACTGTAGCTGAAGCTCAGCTCAGTAGTTTCTCTGCAGACTTCTTCTTTCGTTTTACATGGCCAGGCTAAGACAACCGAAGGCCTGAAGCACTGCAAGCAGAACAAAGATGAGGGAGTGAGATAGCCGCCATCCGAGCCTTTAGAGAGAGTCTTTGGAGAGAGCCTTTGGAGAGCTTTCATGATCACCTTCAGGATGATGGTGTTCATGAAAGCCGTAAGATTCATCACAGCAGAGGCTTTTAGAAGCCTGTTTCTGAGCACGTGGTGACGAAGTGCAAAGCCTTGCATACAAGCGTTGCAGCAGGTTTGCAATGGTAGCAATGATTCTCAAAGAGCGTGCCAGATGCCTTGTGTTGCCGCACCTCGGCCCCGGGTTTGCAGTGATGGAAGGATCAGGAGCACCGTGGTGGAAGATTTTCCCGATGCTTTTGAGGAGCAAAAAACGTTGAGTTCTGATGAGTTCTACCAAATGCAGAATGAACGACCCTCAAACAATCCAACTTAACCAACATTGTGATTGAAATGGCTGCAAGATTGTGAAGATGCCATGAAGTCATCAAGATTGAAGTATCTTGAAGCAGCATGTCTAAGAATGTCTAATTTTTCAAGTGTGCCATTCAAAGTGCAAACTGCTGAGTTGGCAGGATGAGCCTTGGACATGTTTTCTTGCCTCAAGGCTGTTCTCAAAGAGAGTCTTGTGTCAACTCATTTTGAACATGGGAAAGACAACTTCTTGTGGATGAGAAACATTTGGTTGAACACAGAGCAGCCAACGCACGGTTGGTCGAGCTGCTTTTTCATGCAGAGCACGCAGATGGCTTCTTTGGAATTGTAACAGCATGCTTCCTTTTGAAATCACAGTTTTCTGGTCAGCATACCATTTGTAGCGTGATTGCACGTGTGATGCCGCTATGTTGCATCGCTGTGCTGGGTGTGTCGACCGTGGCCGGGTTCCTGGCATGCTGCCCATCTCACAATTTGCGCGGCATAGTGGGTGTCAGAAGGGCACGGCCAGCCTACCCGTGCCTTGGAACGAATCGAGCATGCCAAAAGAGTTTGCAGCTTTACGTGACAGGTGCTTAGACACTGTCAGTCTGACAGCCAAGGCGAGACGAGCCAGATGTCTCGAGCATCCTTGCCAGCATCACAGCCCGCAGGCTACAATCTGATGTTGCAGCTTTCAATTCCTTGATCAGCACTTGTGCTCGTAGCATTTTGACGCAACCAGCGCAACAAGTCGTGTCTGCAATGCACAGACGGTCAGTTCAGCCGACGTTGGTGACATACAATTCGTTACTCCACCTGTATCAGAAGAGCATCTTGCCGCAGAAGGCATTTGACACTTTTGGAGAGATGCTGGCCAGTAGCATTGAACCGGACGTTATATCTTTCAGTAGTCTGATCAGCGCTTGCGAGAAGAGCCACAGGCTCAAAGAGGCTTTTGACATGTTTGCTCAGATGCGTGACAGGAAGCTGCAAGCGAATGTGATAGCATACAGTGCCCTAATCAGCACGTGCGAGAAATGCAGTTGTGCACATATGGCTGCGCAACTTTTATCTAACTTAGCCTCTGAAAGACTGCAGCCGGATGTCATTAGCTTCAACGCTGTTGTTCGAGCCTTTGCCAAAGGGGGTTTTGCAGACAGTGCATGGCAAGTTCTTGCCAACATGAGCGCAGCGTCGGTCACACCCAATGCTGTGACCTTCAATTCACTTATGAGCTCTTATGATAAAGCCTGTCATTGGGGTGAAGCGCTGGTCTTGTGGCAGCACATGCGGGCGCAATCTGTCGGCCCGAATGTGGTAACCTACAGTACGCTGATCAATATTTGCGACAAGCAGAAGCGGCCCGACATTTCTGTAGCACTTTTTAATGAGATGCACGCGCAGCAGCTGAAGCCAAACGTTGTTGCCTGTACGGCGGCCATTCGGGCCTTGGGCAGATATGATGGCCCGCAGCGTGCTTTGTCCTTGTATGTGGACTTGCGGCAGCAGGGCGCTCAAATTGACTTGGCGATGTACAACTCTATGCTAACTGTGTGTCAAGAGAGCGGACGGATAGAGGACGCATTCATGGTGTTCCGCCAGATGCGGCAAGATCGCGTTGACGCAGACGTTCTGTCGTTCAATGTGTTGATCAAACTATGCAGTCAAAAGCGCCCTTTGCAGGCAAGCAACTTCCTTCAAATCATGCTGATGCAGCATCTTGAGCCTGATGCAATAACATATGATGCTCTTGCATGTGCATTGACTTTGCGCCACTCAGACCAATCAGTGATGGTGAGCTTGTTGGAGCAGATGCAGGCGGTGGGAATGCGATACTCGCGTGGTCTCAGGCCCGCCTTCCAGGACAGAGAGGTCGTCTCACCGCATATGGCTGCACCAGTGTGATTCACGCTGTGGGATGTGTCCTTCTTTGGCACACCGATGAAGCTGCAAGTGCCTCACGAGCCTTGCAGCTTCATGGACACGGGGCACCTGGAAGGTTTCCTCCGCTGGCACAGAGCCACTTAGTGCAAAAGGTGTGCAAGTCTCTTCGTTCTGGAGTTGGTGTCAACTTACTTGCTGTTCTGCTGCTCTTTTTTTTGGTGACTGACGTTTGTGCTGCTTAGGGCAGGTTTGCTCAAGTCCTTGTGACTACCACTTAACGCATTCGAACCAAACTAGTCCAATATCGAACATTGTAGCCATGGTGCCGCGCTGCTACCTCTTGGCGTGGCTGATGGCTGCAAGTGTGCTGGGTCGTCATGACGATGCACCCGGATTGTCGCTTTCGGCTGAATTGTCAGAAGTGAGGAAGTGAATCGGCTGAGTTGTAGGGGAAACGTTCAAAAATGTGTGCTGTACGATAGGTCAGCCGTTGCCGATGAACTTTTGTCGGACTTGATGCCGACTATGGTGGTCGGAGACAAGCTGGCAATGCAAGTTGCAGAGCGTAGATTCTCCAAAGTTTATACTTGCATGCTGCTTTGGCAGCGGGTAGCATCCTCCTGCAAACGTTTCAGTAGTCCCCCCCCCCCCCCCGACGGCCGCGCATCCAAGGCCTGCATATGACCCCGCAGATGTGGATGCGACGCAGGTTGCCACGCAGGCTGCGCTTGGAGCAAGATCAGTGGTGCTGTTTCAGCTAGCGCTTCTTGGCCTTCTCCAATTTTTGCTGCCAATCCGTTCGACTGTTGCATTTTCATTTTGCTTAGTTCCATTGCTTGTTTCTTGTTGCTTGTTGCTTGTTGCTTGTTGCTTGTTGCTTGTTGCCTGTTGCCTGTGGCTCGTTGCTCGCTGCTTGTTGCTGTTGCTGTTGTTGTTGCTGCTGCTCCTGCCTGCTGCAGCTGCTGTTGGTGTTGCTGTTGTTGTTGCTGTTTCGGCTGTCGTT